AGCAGGACCAATGTCCTGTGCTAGTCCATTATCACTGTATAAGTCACTTCCAAAGAAAAATTTTGTATGGGGGAGGCTGAAAATATAGTTTTGTTTTATTATTATTATTATCATTATTATTTTAGGAATGTATGTTATTTACAATGTGGAAAATGTGCAAAAAAAAAAAAAAAACTCAGAGGAAACAATAAATAAGAGAAGTCCAATATGGATATGTTTAATAACTCCAAAACATGAAAGTTTGAGCATTTATTCCAGAGAGATAGCAGTCTTGAAAAAAGCAGACTTAACCCAGCATATTTGCTCAAAACATTTAGCAAAGTTATTTAGAATTTTGGTTAAGTTTTCTCTTTCTCTTACTCCTTAGTTACTTAAAACTCCTCTTTAAATATGAGAAAATTTAATTCCTCAATATTCTTCCCATTGGAATAAAATGAAAAATTCTTCTGAGATGGCAATCCACTCTTGCCTAACACTGTTTTATCATACTTTCTTTTCTTGATTGCTTATATAGAAAAATTTGGAGGTGGTTCATTTCTATGTCTCCCAACATTGCTCTGTAAGTAATAATTTTTCATAGCCTACTTCCCAAACTGGAAATAGTGGTTTTTATAAAAGAAGAATGGCTCTTCTCAACTTATTATTGAAATTATTTACTTGATGTGATTTTTATTTGAATAACAAAACCAAAACATAAATAAAAGTCAGGTTCTTTAATCTCAAAAAAGAAAAGCACATATCTATGAAATAAAAGATAAAAAAGTATTTCCCTTTAACTTGATGAAGGATCCTTGAATTAATTGTTTAAGGGATTTAACATCAAAATATTAGAGAACCTAAAAAACACTGAATTATTTGGATACTTTTGTGATTAAATTTTAAACTAGAATTATGACAATCCAAGTGAAGTTATCTGAAGTTTTTCTTGCTTCCTAAAATAATGAGTGATGGAATTTACCTTCTACAGCAGAAAGTAGAATATTCTCTTCTTTGATGTAAAAGGAGGCCCATATTTTCTAGCCTCCCTGAATTTAGATAGAACCAGGTGATAATTCTCCCCAATAGATTGTTAGTAGAAGTAATATGTCACAACTTCTGATTAAAGTAAAAAAGTGGGTATGCTTTTCTCTACATTCTTTTTTTTTTTTTTTTTTTTTTTTTTTTTTTTTTTTTTTTTTTTTTTTTTTTTTTTTGTCTACAGCCTCCATGTGAAGACAGGTCTTAAGAATGGCAAAGCTATTAAGATGAATCTCTGAAAAACTGCATGGAGCAGAGTCGCTGCTGACTCACTCTGGATTTTGAAATGAGCAAAAAAGAAATTGTTATTTTTGTAAGCAATAGGAATTTGGGGGATAATTTTTCAAAGTGGTTAACATACTCTGTCTAATGTACTTCTTTAAACATAGTGTGCTAAAGGAGAGAAGAGTTAAAAATTTGGTCTACCTATTATTACTATTTTAAAATATATTTTTATTGATTTCAGAGAGTGGATGGGAGAGGGAGAGAGATAGAAACATCAATGATGAGATAGAATCACTGATCGGCTGCCTCCTGTATTCCCCACACTGGGGACTGAGCCCACAACCCAGGCGTATGCCCTGACTGGAAATCGAACCATTACCTTCTGGTTCATACATGGGTTGATGCTCAACCACTGAGCCAGGCCAGCTGGACTGGTCTATTTATTATAGATATAAATCTCTAGACTCAAGATGGAGTTGTTTTTCCTCGGATGCCATGTCAACAAACCAAAACTTAAATAATTTTCATATCCCTGTAAATGCTGCTCTGGATGAGAAACTCCGTATATTCAGTCAGCCAGTTCCTAAACACCAAGCCAATTCTGTGCTTTAAACTTATCTTTTTGTTCCTCCTCACCCCAAACAAGGTCGACTATGTGACCCCAGCCAATTACATATTTTTTATTTTTCTCTTCTTTATTCATCGTCCTATAAAAGCTTCCTGCCTTCTACCTCATTTTGCTTTCTCCAAATGGAGGTGTCCACTTCATGAAGTGTCAAATACCAAGTTTGTTTGTGTCACCTGAATTGTCTTTGTTAGTCATTTTAACACTATTAAAGTTTCCCTAATTCATATTATGTGAAAGTACACTGCAAATTCTAAAGTGTTTTTGCAAAATTAATATTATTATTAACAATATTAATAAAAATATTAATAGTTACCCAAATTCCGTATCTCAATTATATTTGGAATGGAAGTTGGGAAAAGGAATGAATACAAGGAAAAATTCCCTTTTATCTGAATTTTCTGAGAAATAATCTATGTTGTAGGGTCATGAAAGCGTTAGCTTTCCACCAATCTAACAGCTACATTTATTAAGAAAAATGTAGATTTATTAAAAAAATGGAAAACATTACTTTGAAAGATGTACCAAACCTAAGTCTTCATCTTTCATTGTTTAATTTCTTTTTTCTTAATGCACTTTTATTTAATTTGGCTGAGCTGTTTTAAAGATTGTATGACTCTAGTCAGAAGCAGTGTTTTAGAACTCAGCTGGGTCACAGGAACTTTTTCAGCACTCCATTCTAATTTGCAGTTTTGCTATAATAAAAGCCCTAAATATATTGCTACTGTCTAGACGTTTTATCTGAAACAAGTGTCCTTTGTAGCCTCAGAGGACTTTTTTATTTCCAGTAAATCAAAGTCTGTGAAGAGCTGTGGTTCTTATTAAGACATACCCTTCACAGTTCAGCGACTGCCAACAGTGGCAAGCCAATGACAGTTCATTTACATATAAGTGATGACTTCCATCAGGTAGTTGGCTCAAAACCACAATGGACATTTAGAGCACATCCAATATTTCTTCTTCTTTGATGAGCACCAAGTGCCAATTTTTATATGGAAACTAACTATTGAAAAGTGAAGGCTTCTTTTCTCTGACCTTACACTGTCTTCTCCAGCTTGGGAGTGACTTATTGTCACTGAACTTAATGTAAGATCACACCTCTAAAAGACATTCAGTGATCCTCCTAATTCAGACAGCTAAAAATCAAGAATAATAGTCAAATGGAGGAAACATGAGATAAGAACAATTACATTTTATCAAAAGAAAAATAAACTTCTGCATTCTGCTCCTAGTTGTCACAACCATAACCTAATTTTTTTTTTCCTTGAAAAATATTACATTTTATTCAAATCATTTTCACAAGGAACAGAATTAGGGGGATGTAGAAACCTTTTACTCATGCATTCACAAGAAATATTTTTGAATATGTAATAGAGGACACAAATTGTCAAATGAATAAATAACTGAATGAGTGGTTTCTATAACTCCTTATAACTTAATTTTTGCTTTATTTTTATAAGGTACTTTTTATATTTTTTTCTCATAAGTATATTTGCCACTTGAAATAGTGGTAAGTGTATTCAATGCTTATTAGGAAATTCTGTGTTGTAGTTTGTGTCTTTTATTATAACTCTATTCTTTTGCTCCTCCTCTCCCCCCCCCTCCTTTTTTGTGAATAGTGGTGGCAAAAATCTAGCCAATTTTTATCTTAATAATGCTGTAAAAAGGAGCAGGCTGATGGATCTGTTACCATTCTGTGACTCAACCCATGTTCAATATTTTTTATTCATTTATTGTGCATTTTCCAGCTTTTTTTTTAGAATTGACATAAAGAAAAACTTCTCTTTAAAATGAAACTCAATTACTAACAGAAAGAATATGAATAATTGAATTTCATATAAGCTAAACTCTCCATTTTAGCTAGTGGTCACGTGTTTTCTCCCTTTCGAATGTTTCACTGCTAACATTTTCTGGTTAGAGTATTACCATGATGTTGAGTCCAGCTTGGTTTTGGTTTTGGTGAGGCCCCGACTTAACATGATTCTTGTAGTTGGCTTTTCTGAAGATTTAATCCTAATGACTTTCATATGTATTCTACAGTAAACTCCACTGCATGAAGGAGCTTGAGAGAGATTTTTATTTTTAGAAACCAGTCATTTATAAAAGTAATAGATTGGGCTAAGAACTGTAAAAATGGAACACTTGTCATGTAGTTGCTGCCTCAATTCATATCTAATTTCTATGCAATCTTTACAGTCTGGTCCTTCAACTAGTGCCCCTACACTTGTTTTCCAATCCATTCACAGAGGGAAGGAGAGAAAAAGGGAGGAAGGAAGGGAGAGGAGGGAGGGAGGGAGAGAAACAAAGAGGGAGGGAGAGAAGGAGGGGCAGATGGTGGATGAATAATGGATAGATAAAATTAAATTCAAGACTCTTAAGGAACTAGTATTAGCCACTGTGCTTCAACCCTTTCTGAACAAGGCAAATATTAACTGTCAGTTTTTCACTTTAGAGTGATAATTGAGAATAAGGAAAATTACTACTACGACTACACTAGTAAAATTGTATAGTTTAAAACACATTTTGAGAAACCATTTCCAAACATTTTGAGTTTTTAAAAATAAGAGTATTGAAGTTTCTTTTTGTTGTTGTTGTTGTTAATCCTCACTCGAGGATATTTTTCTATTGACTTTTAGATAGTGAAAGGGAGAGGGAGAGACAGAGAGAAACACCCATGTGAGAGACACATTGATTGGCTGTCTCCTGCATGCACCTCGACCAGAGCCAGGGAACCTGTAACCAAGGTACAAGCCCTTGACTGGAATCGAACCTGGGACCCTTCAGTCCTGGGGCTGATGCTCTCTCTATCCACTGAGCCAAAATTGGCTATGTTTTGAAGTTTCTTTATGGAATTCATTGGTAATGGAACAAAATAACTCTAAGTCCAGCGAAAGGAGTATGTCACAGTAGTTTCATCACATTTTGTTTTAATGAAGAATATCCAATGAATGGTTCATCCAAAGATACTTAGAAGTTATAGACTGACTTATTGAAAACCTTTAAATATGTGAAGATGCTTGCCTTTTTGCCTGTTGATACTGAATTTATTCATGGCCAATGTTAACTTATTTCTTTGGGTAGATATGTTCAACTCTTATGAGAACAAAATTGTATTGAAAACATTATTATACTTCTAAGATGAATACAGTTGTCTCATTTTCCTTTCTCTCATAGATGCGCACACTAACTTCCCAACAATCCGGATGTCAGCTCTTTTGAGTATTGGATGTCCACTCACTGTAAGATAAAATATTTGATTATATTAATGAGTATTTAATTAATATGCCAGAATGGGTTATCATCATAATTAACTAGTTATTAATATGAATAATAGAAGGAGAGCAAAGGAGAGACTGGACATTATAAGCATGGTTATCTGGGCAACTTCCCCAAGAAGCTACTTCATGCTCGCAGAGAACCACCAGTCCATTCCCCGAAGATCACTGGGGGAAGGGATTGAACAAGGAGGGGTGGGAGGGAGATAGACATATGTGCTGTGATGTTGGGTGAGGTAGGGAAGGTGCTTGCTTGTCAGTCTAGCCTGGGAAACAATGGGTTGGCTAGGGGGGTGGACCCAAAAGCAAGTAAGTGAATGCTGGAAGGTTAAGATCCTCAAGGCAAAGAGTCCTCCTTCTCTGTGCTTTTGCCTCTTGCTTTGCTCTTGTCCAGAGATGATAGCTGTAATAGAATATTACTCAAAATAGGTAAACTAGAAGGAAAAGTATAACATTCCAAGATCTTGTTCTTACACATTCTCAAGGGAATACAGATTTAATATTCAATGTTCCCTTGTTTTCAAAATGGGGATTGTATATATCTTGTACCATTGTTGAAAGGATCCAAAAACACACATCAGAGTATAGGTGTGTAAAAAAATGTGTTAATATGGATGCATCAATTAAAACAAATACACCACACTAATGCAAATTGTTAATAACAGGGAACAGAAAAAGGGGGTAGATAGTAACACTTTGTACTTTTCAGTAAAATATTTTTGTAAACCTAAAATGTCTCAAAAAAGTTTGTTAGTTAAAAAAAAAAAATACGTGTCTGACCCTTCATAAGTATTCAAAATATTGTTGCTATATTATTATATGTATCATGATGCTATAATATATATAGGCTTTATAAAGAAATCTTACTAGCAATCGTGTAAAATAATTATATATATATATATATATATATATAATCTCCCTAATCCTAAACCTAACCCTAACCCTAACCCCTAACCCTAACTCTAACCCTATATATATATTGGTCTCTGCCTCCAGTTCCTGTCACAGAGCTTAGAAACCCTTATAATTTCCTAACTGACAAGAGCACTGGGAGCATCTTCCATTCTAATGAGATTGAGGTAACTGGTCCAAAGATCAGGAGAAGGGCTTCTCCCTCTAGCTGCTAGAGTCTATGTGAAATCAGCACAGCCTGGCCTGGCCAGGTATAGAGGCAAGAGCTATAACAATACACCTTTACCAGGCTTCCTGAGCTTCAGAGTGACAATAGCAGATAGACTGCAAAAGAGCTGGGGGATAAGGAATTCTATGCTACAGCCTAGAGGGGTACCTATGAGTACATGTGAGATATTTTAGGAAAATGCCTGGAATTAACTGCAGTGATAGAAATGCTTTCAAAGAGACCAGAGGTTGTATAAGAATAGGTAGAAAATTCTATGCGTGATTATTTTTGTGATTATATATGTATCTATATACATATGTGTGGGGATGTATGTAGTTGGATTCTGCTCTGAAATAGTAAAGTTTTGCTTCCCACTGCTCACTGTTCCTAGCTCCTGCCTCTGCCTTTCAGGCAATTGGCTTCCTTGAGGGTGACTGAAAATAAACCACCTAATTTCTGGTATTTGTCAATTTTGAAACAAGAAAAAAAATTATAAATTATTTATAATATTTATAATATTCTAATAAATATTCTATGCTCAAGTTTTTTAAGTAATTAGCTCCCATTTGTAATCTGTGAAAACAATGTAAAACATATAGCTATTTAATAAACATAACTACTTAAAATGAGGTGAATGATTGTATGACATTCCATGAAGAAAAACGCTGGAACAAAAAAGACAGCTGCATTTCAAAAGGAAGTTTTAAAACGCAAAGCAACAACAGTATTTTCTAAAGGAAGGCTCCCACTTGGGAGCTTATGACTTTCCTCACAATGCATAGCATGTTATGGATCCAAGAAATTAAAATCTGAAGAACTTAGCCCATGGAGCCAGATGGTAGAAAGACTGTGTGATGGCGTGAGAACCCTTTCTAATTTACAGGGAATCAGAATGTTTGGGTGAGCAGATTGGTGGAAGAAGGAAAGAGGAGATGCTGATGGGCTCTTGAGAAAGGGTCCATCACTGTATCTCCTTGTACCTTGCCCTGAGGGGGATTTTGTAATAGAGAACACCAAAAGTTTATGGAAAAAAAATACAAAAGTAAAAGGGTTTTTGATGAATGGGGATGCAAAGCCCTTAAAAAAACACCATGTGGCCAATATGGAACTGCAGCAATAGGTGTGGACAGTGTCTGGATAATGGCTCTGCAGCCTTCCATCACAAACTGTAGCCCAAGGTGGTGTGAGGAGACAGCTGAATGGTGTAGCTTCCAAGAGAGCATGGGATTCTCAGAAAACTGGCCGACTATAAGAGGCCCACGGTCTGTAAAGGAAGACAGTGTATATATGGACTTCACTACTGGCAGTTATGAAGACTGGATGGCGCCCTAGCTGGTTTAGCTCAGTGGATAGAGTGTCAGCCTGCAGACTGAAGGGTCCCAGATTAGATTCCAATCAAGGGCACATGCCATAGTTGTGGGCTAAATCCCCAGTGTGGGGCGTGCAGGAGGCAGCTGATCAATGATTCTCTCTCGTCAATGATGTTTCTATCTCTCCCTCTCCCTTCGTATCTGAAAAAAAATAAAAAAATAAAAAATAAAAAATGACTGGATGGTAATGAATGGTTCACAAGATTTAGGTGGCATGATTAAGACACGGGCTGAGAGCAAAGGAGATCACATTGAGGATGTATCTCATGAGATAAGAGGAAATGAGAGAGTAGGCCTGGTATAAATGAGAGAGTAAGTAAGAATAATTTAGATTGCATATGTACAATAACAGCAGCATGAAAATACAGAAGTTAGAAATATAGCTTATAGATTATTGAGATAAAAGAAGTCATTCCAATTATTCATAGGAAAATATTTTCAATGTGAAAGACCCAACTTATCATATCATGCAACTTAGAAATACAAGTTTCATAGAAAGTGATATCAACTCACTAAAAGGTGGCCTAAGTAACTGAGGAAAACAGCATTTTGATTGGAAACTGGAGGCTAAAGATAAAATGCAGATGGATAGACACAGATGGATAGATACAGAAATAATTATCAATAAGTGCCCAAAGAGCTTAGTATTCGCATATGTATTTTCCAGATCTGTTCACTGAGAGAGCCTGGAAACAGTGATACTTCAGTAGCATCAAGGAAATCCAGTGCCCAGACTTTGGTTTCTAAAGACTATTCTCCAATAAAAGGAACCAAGACTCCTTAGAGAAACAGTGGTTCTAGGGCGGGATAATAATGCAAGACAAGTCTGCAGAATCTTGTAGTGCCAAAGTAGGGAAGCACTTCAACTCCATAATATTCTTTTAAAAAAGCACAACCTCCGCATTTTTAAAACAATAATAACAACAATAAGTATAGTTGCCATTTAATGCACATTTATTCTGTGCCAGGCTCTGTACTGAGTGCTTTGCTTATATTATCTCAATTTCTGATAGTGTGATGCTGCCAATATTATTATTATAAGAAACACAGATTCATATCAATGGCATGTTTCTTTGGGCTATGGCAATTCTTTAATTCATGTATGGATTGCAGAACAACTTATTGGAAACCATAGCATTATTTATATCACTCATGTTTAAAGCAGGTATATGTTACATTACATTATTATTTGCCTTTTTATATTTTTTGTCATATATCTTCAAAATGTCAGGAATCCACTTATTTGTGTCACTGCATTGATTTCTAAGAGAGCATCTTGCAGATAAACAAGTGTTCAATAAATAATTTTGATAATGCTTATTTTTGCTTTACAAAATTTATATCATATTATGTATATTTTGCTTTCTTCACTCAAGATTTCATGAAAATCCTTCCAAGCCAACTAGGATAACTCTAATTCATTATTTTAAATAGTACATAGTATTCTGTGATATAAATAGACCATAATATTTATTCTATTATTTAATATTTACTATGTTTCTTATCCCTCTACCCACAAAATGATAAAAATAAGCATTCTTGTTTATTTAGTAACTAGAGGCCCTCGGCCTGGCCTGCACCCTCTTGCAATCTGGGACTCCTTGGGGGATGTCCAAAGGCTGGTTTAGGCTCAATTCCGATTCCTGAAGAATCAAGCTTAAACCAGCAGTGGGACATCCCTCTCACAATCTGGGACCACTGGCTCCTAAATGCTCGCCTGCCTGCATAATCGCCCCTAACTGTTCGCCTGCCTACCTGGTTGCCCCTAACCACCTATGCCTGCCTGATTTCCCCTAACTGCACTCCTGCTTGCCTGATCGCCCCTAACGACCTCTGCCTCGGCCCCTGCCATGGCAACTTTGTTTGAAAGGACTTCCAGAATGACATCCGATGTTAGTTTGGCTGATTGGTCTAATTAGCATATTACACTTTTATTATAATAGATGCTTTTGTTTTCATATGATAGATTGCTAAGATGGAGTGCAGATTCAAAGAACACACATTTTTAATTTTAACTGATATTGCCAAAGTATTTTTAAACACACTATGAAATCCATATATCTGCCAGCAATGTGTGACAGTGCTTTTGTGCTCATAACCCAACCAGCAATAGCAGATATTGTTTTGTTTTAATAGTGGCCAGTCTAAAAGCTGCTAATGCAATGAGTTTCCTAATCTACTACTGACTATATGAATCTGCATATTTTTTTATTAGCTGTTGGATTTCTGTTTTGTGATTTATTTCTCTACATCCTTTGTCTATTTTTATTATATTGCCCTCTCATTCTCAATTTAAAATAGCTCATGGGATTAAACCTCTGTGTTCTACAGTGCAATTCCACTCAACATCAGTTTTTAAAATAGATTTGTTTATGGTATCTTTTCATAGAAAAGTCAATATTTTTATAAAACAAGTCATTTTTCCTCTCTTTTATATTCTTTATTTACTATCATTCCTGCTCTGAGTTAAAT